CACGTTACCTGACTGCGCCATTCCAGCCACCGCGGCGGTCTCTGCTGCACTTGTGGAACTTGTGGATCCCCAGGAGGATCACGCTCAGGATCCCCCCGCCCCGCCATCCTGCTGCCAAACTTTACTCAACCTTGCCTCTCTTGTCCACAGGCGTGCCTGGCGCTGCTGGCCAGCCCGGCTCTCGGCGGCGACGATGCTGCACCCGAGGCCGCCTCCGCGGCCGCGGCCGCTCCAGCCGCCGCCTCCTCGTCGGGGGCCGCGGCCGTGAGCGACGAGCCCAAGGAGACCGAGATGCTGGACGTGGCCGAGTCCTCCAACAACAACACGGCGGCCGCGGACGAGGAGGCCGGCGGCTCGCGCTCCAACACGAAGCGCACCATCGACCACAGCCTGGGCTACGGCTACCGCTACAACACGGTGCTGCGGCCCGTGGGCCACCACCACCACTACATGCCGCAGCCGCGGCGCCCCATGCTGCCCATGCAGGGCCTGCCCATGTACAAGCTGCAGCAGCGCTACCCGCACCACTTCTTCTCCAGCAGCGCGAGCGGCAGCAGCGGCAGCGGCAGCAGCGCGCCCTTCCGCTTCTCGCAGCCGCTGCCCTCGCCGCCGCAGCGCGAGGAGCCGCAGCTGCCGCAGCCGCAGCCGCAGCCCATGTCGCACGGCGAGCACATGTCGCACGGCGAGCCCATGGCGCCGCGGCCAGTGACCGAGGCGCCCTCGGGCCCCCACAGCGACACCGTCAGCCTGTACCGCACGCTGTCGCAGCCGCAGCCGGAGCAGCACGCCTTCACTTACGAGGACGACCTCCCCAAGGCCAAGCAGCAGCAAATCCAACAGCAGCAGCAGCAGCAGTCCGAGCTGGAGGCGCAGGGCGACGCGCAGCCCGTGCAGTACGCCGACGAGGCCCCGGCCCCGCACTCGTACCAGCAGGTGCTGCAGGCCGAGCCCACCTACTTCCTGACCTCGGCCGCCGCCAGCCCCGCGGCCTCCCACATGTTCGCCGGCTCGTCGCCGCTCGCCGCCATGTACAGCCACGGCCTGGCCCACGCCGCGCACCCCGTCATGTACGCCACCGCCGGCCACGGCCAGCACGCCGCCGCCACGCAGATGATCCCCGTCATCATCGTGCGCCTCATGGACTCGCACGCCGCGGCGGCGTCTCTGGCGCCCAGCGCCACGCTGGCGCACGCCGTGTCCCCCCTCGGCCACGCCATGGGCCACTCCATGGGCCACGCCATGGGCCACGCCGCCGCCATGCCCTACCCGCTCGTCAACATGCAGTTCCTGCGCGACTACCTCAGCAAGCTGTACGCCCCCGCCGCCGCCGCCCCCGCGCAGCCCCAGTACGTGACGGCCTCCGAGCCGGACCCGCTCCTGTACTCCAGCCAGCTCTTCGGCTCCACACAGCTTCAAAAGCTGCAGCTGCAGCAGCAGCTTCACGCGCAGCTTCAGAAGCAGTTGCAGATGCAGGTGCAGCAGCAGCAGCAGCAACAGCAGCGGCCATCGCAGTCGGTCGCGGAGATACTCCAGGAGCAGCACAGGCAGAGGGTAGCCGCCGCGCAGGCGCAGCAGGGCCGGACGGAGGTGACCGTCCACAGGAGTCCTGCCATGTCGCCACAGGATTACAAGGAGTCCGTGGAACAGCAAGAAGAGGCCTGAAGCTGTGGGCGGCGAGGCTTGTCGAGGCTTCGTGTACATAATTTATTGTTGAACGTTGTTATGTAGATGGAGGAGTACGTGTTGGCCATTCTACCTGTCTATTTAAATTTTATGTTAATTATTTTAATTATTGTTAATAGTTTTACCA